TACACTCATGGATACAGAGAACTTGTGTGTCTCAAACTTAATAATATTGTTGTCATCTGCAGTGAGGCAGATGTGATATTTACTAGGTTAGTGAAATATTGTTAACAGCTGATGAATGTGCAACTTAAGCTTTTTAGGCACATGTGTACTGCAGAAAAATATGAAATATTTAAAACATTATTGAATTCAAATTGATATCATAATGTTGACTTTTTTCAGTCTCAAGCCCTTCAAGAGGCAGATGAAGCTGTTTTCACAGATGAACCTGGTATGAGACTGAGTTGTTTCAAAGTTATTTTTTTAGATTATTATTCCCATAATCATTTCAAACTTTCAATTGTGAAATATCACTTAAAAAGGAGCTAGTTTACAGACAGGCCATCAGGTCTCTGTAGTATTCAGTAATGAAAATGACCAACAAACAAACCATATTGTTATTGATTCAAGTAAGTTTTGCCAGTCGGTTTAGCAACAAAGGTGATCAAGTGTGGATGTAGATCCAAAATGTGGTGCCTACTTAAATTACTCAGACATGTTTTTAATGTTTACAGTTGCTGCAGAATATCTTGAAGACATCTATACAATTATTAAACAACCCACTGGTAAGCCTAAAACAATACAGATAGGAAACTTTGCAAAATGCTAACATTTGAAGTTCATGCTTACATTTATTTCCTTGATTTAACATGTCCTTTGAACAAGTGCCCCATTCAAAATAAAACTACACATTTTTCCCTGAACATCGCTGAAGCTAACTAAGTCTACAAATTAAGATATTGTTGCATTTAAGGTAGATATAATACTAAGTAGTTAGTATGAAGCGTTGTAAGTGAAAAATTGGAGAGGACGTTTTAAGTAAGTTTCCCAAGCACTTTACAGGCTGCCAAAGGGTTATAAGGGCTCAACTGTTAGACCCTGATTCAACAATGTAATGTTGTGTACAAGATTCAGTCATTTTACTCTCCATATATTAATACAAAATAAAGTTCACATATACACGACTGTACATTGATGTACATAGTTCCATTTTATGTGTTGTATCATCAGGTGAGCTGGGAATGGGTGTTACAATAGACAAGTCTCGTGGGAACACCGTAGTTCAGCGTGTGTCA